AGGATTGTTCTTTCGAGAGATGACCGGTATACCCCTACAAGTCAACACACCTGTACAAGCATTCCGATGCCTTCGTGGAATTCGAGAATTGAGCCCGGCGCAATTGTCAGTTTCGCTCCGGGAACCACGTGTAGGTCGTCGACCACGGTGTATCTAAAACAACTCTCTGAGTAGGTCTGTCAAGACAATGGACAGGAAATGCACTTCAACTCCTCGAGGGGCAAAGTGCAGCGTTTTGGGGGAACTTCACAAAGTCAGCATAACGGTGCTTTTGAACGACGACGGTTCTGCACCCGAACAGTGACGCCTTCGCAAGGCAGAGGAAATAAGCTACTGTACCGGATGCTCAAAAGATGCGAAAAACACCCATACTTTTAAAAAGCAAACTAGTTCAGTTAAAGCTGTGGGAGAAGTTACTTTATTTTTAGTTTTCGTCATCTTTCACCAAAAACAGGCTAAGAAAAGAAACGAAACTTATCATAAAATGTGTAAGTTGAGGCGGAGTGATTTAGTGACAAGTGGCGCGCTTACCACTCGCGCGGTCCTGGGTTCGAATCCCGGGTCGACTCCCGCCCAGGCCAACCAAGCCTTCTACCCTCCGGGGACGGTAAATTGGTACCAGATTCGTCTGGGAGGATAAGAACACTGACTTGTACGGCACAAGTCATTGTATAGGCCACATCGCATTCAATAAGCCACTACGATTCTGAATGGAAGTAGAATGCGTGCCGCATCCCACAAAGGGATTGATCAACGGCGAAGACTTTATCCTTTATCCTTCATGCAGAAATTAACCGGATCCCAAAACCTGCTTCGACTGCAAGGGGTAGGGGTGGAGAGAGCCCTCATCAAAAATACAATTCCCCTCATTAAAAATACAATCTATGGAAAAGCAACACTGATCTAGAAAAATTTCCCACAAGCCAAACGCGACCTTCTTAAGAAACTAAAATGCGATCTCCTAATTCGCAAGTGTGCCTCAACGGTGTTCTACCCTAGCCCGAAGGGAAACAGTCAAGATTTTTAGCCAGTAGACACAAGAGATGTCCAAAGTTATTTCTGAACCCTTGATCAGTATTATGTACATTCCTTATCCCTAGATTCAGAGTAGGCGTGTAGGCCCCATGTTGCAACCATGCATGGAACTGGCTACTCGTGGAGGCCCCACGTGAACTGGTTATTCGTAATGGAATACACTCCGCCCCTGCCGCGGACAACTGTCATCTTGTTCTGCGTTGGAAAGAGACACGATAACAATTGTGCCAAGATCAAAGTATCTCATCAGAAGCATAGAAACCTTCAGTCGTGAACTGCAAACGCCTGCGCGCACGGCTACTCGATCTCACCGGATTTTGAGTATACACGAACTGCTACTGGATATTATGATCTTTAGAGTCAACAGGGTTGCGTATTATGCACACGTTGCATAATCGTCAAATAAGTTGAGCGCGCCTTTTCGAGGGGGAGCAGCCCCTTCAGCGTGTTTGCCACATCTGCTTCGTTGTTTACTTCCTAGCAGAATGCTTTTGTTGGCCAGCATAGCCAGCTGGCGGCGCGGCGGCATCTCACCCGCCTCAATGAACCGCTCCCCAACTGACTGCAATGTTATCGTCTACACTTAACCCTCGGGTGTCTCTTTTAGCCAAAATTTGCTCCGTCGCAGAGAGCAAAGTCATTGGCATACTTTTGGAGATTGGTGATGAAGTAATCCAGCCCAAAATTTTCCGGCACCGACCCGTGGACTAAAGAAGTCAGTCGGACGATTAGAACTCACCTGCCGGGAACCAAGTCGTGATTTTCGTAGATCGTGCCGCCAAGAACGAAAGGCTGGGAGTCCTTTCGAAATTCACGAAAGAACTCTTGCAGATAAGTGATGTGAGGATTTCTCTGGTTACAGACGGCAGCATACGGACCAACGACGATCTCAGCCAGGGAATAGCGGTTGAACTGGAACATTTACAGTGTACTCAAATTGGAAAATTGAATGGAGGAATAGGGAAATGCTTATATTATAAATGTCGAGAAAGAGATACTTGAGCTTTTTTCAGGGCCATCGCTTAGCCAATTGACTACTATTTTTCCCCTTTTCTGCGCCTTCAACAGCAGCTTGCTTGCTATGGGACTCAGTGAAGAGTTATGGTTTCTTAGAGGACCATAAATCAAGTCCAACCAGTGGCTCGGCTAACTAACCTGGTCGAAGATCTTGCTCATGAATTGCGACGGCACCGGCGATCCCCAGTTGTTTTCTCGAGCATCGATCCGTTTCGCGTGTTCGTCGAGTTCGGTACCAATTTCATAAGCGGCTTGAGGGTTTTTGAAACAGTTCCGACGAATGATCACGTTGCTGAAGAAGGGTAAGCCTAGACGACTTCATAATATTCAACGGCAAAACGATACCTGCTGGAGACGACCATAGCCGCATAGGGAGTGGTACGTGGGCGAAGTTCTGGAAACGGGTTGAACACAACATTCTCACGAACCTGAAAAGGAGGAAGGCATTTATACTTTTTGGTTCGCTTTTATGGAATTCTTCGAACGGATGCGAACCTCATTTTGTTGGTTAAAAATCAGCTGCTGAGCAGGGGCGTCCTCGTTCAGTCCAACAGATATGATGTACTTTCCACGATTGAATTTGAATGAATTTTTTGAAATTGTCACCTAGAAAACAACAGACTGACGTCAGCAAGAAAGGTAGACGAAGGGTAAACGATAACCATCATTTTTTCCCAGTCTGATATTTCCCTGCCTGTCCAGGATGAAACGGTCCGACTTACATTTGCTCTCAGACGCCACAGCTGCGGATGATTGGCATTTTTAATAAACAAAGCTGTGTCGTTGTTGTTCAGAAACTGGTTACTGTTGATGAAAGCTAGTACGTTCACTGACGGCGCCATCCGAAATCCCATGCCGCCATTTCCTGAAGAAACCCTCGAGAATTTTGGCGGAGCTCATCAGCTCTTCGCTGCTTGGCTGTATAGGTAAACTATAGTAGGTAAAAACAATAATATGGAAAACAGAGTAGAGTAAGCAGTAATAGGGTGGTCTGTGGC